GAAGAAGAAGCTGGAGGAGGATATGCCGCTGCTCCACCGTACGGAGGCCAGTGAGCATCTGAAGGCATTGGTCGAGGAGCAGTACGCGGCCTCATGGTTCGTCTGCGAGAGCTCAGACCACGTTGCCCTGGGTACCAAGTCCTCGATCCCAGGCCAACCCCTCGCCGACCAGATCTACGAGATCGCCATGGCGGAGGCCATCAGGATCTCAGAGGCGAGGATCGAGGAGGAGGGCTACGGCATCTTTGTCACAGGTGCCAACGTACGCTCGCTGGCGCAGCAGCTCGACAGCGACCTCGACTTCGAGAAGATACCAGGCCACAGCGTGGCCTTTGCGGACGACGGCACATTCTTCTTCATCGGCAAGGCTGAGGAGGCGATGGATGCGGTGGCAGTCATCGCGGGCATCGTCCTGGACACTTTCGCGGAGTTCGGCCTCGTCCTCAACCTTGACCCTGGCAAATCGGAGGTGCTCTTTGCCTTCGCAGGCCAAGGGGCGAAGGGAGCGAGGAGGACCCTATGGCATGAGTGCCATGGAAGGGTCAAACTCAGGTCGAAGCACTACGAGGGAGCCGTCATCCACGCAGTGCACAACCACGTGGCGCTGGGGACGGTCATCGACGACCACGGCGCGGTGTGCCCAGAGCTCTACCGCCGCGCAGCCGCCACTACAGCCGCTCTCAGGAAGCTGAGAGAGAAGGTCTTCCGCAGCCACCAGCTGGACCTGCCTACCAAGATGGTATTCGCTGACGCCCTGGTATGCTCGTCGAGGTGCTTCTCACAAGGCAGCTGGCCAGGACTCACGAGGGCGGAGGCCAAGTATCACCACGCCATGGTCATGGCAGTCTACAGGGCTGTGGCGGGGAAAAAGTTCGCCACCAAGGAGGGCGGTGAGCTGGACCTCGACGCCTACCCAGAGGCGGAAGATGAGGCACTGCTCGCCAAGGTGGGAAGGGTTCGGCCGGAGGACCTGCTGAGACTAGCGAGGCTAAGGCTTTTCGGCGAACTACTGCAAGCAGGACCACCCCTCGCCTTCGCGACGATGGCCCAGCTCCTCCTGCGGCCCCAGCATGCCAAGAGGCAGTCCTGGCCGCAGATGCTAATTGGGGACCTCCGCTGGCTGCAAGGCTACTCGGCGGACCTGCACGACCTTCCGGATCCCAGTGATGAGCTGAGGCCTTGGGAGATGATGATCATACGCTCGCACTCCTCGTGGAAGTACAGGCTCAACGACACGCTCAAGGCGGCGGCAGCACAGCTGAGCAGAGGCCACGCGGCGCGAATGGCAGAGAAGCGCTTCTTCGCCATAGTGCAGCCAGCGGGAGTGCCGTATTCCACAAGGGAAGGCAGCCCTTTCGGGCCCCCGCAGGCAGACGAGCCAGACACAGCGTCGACGAGACAATGGACATGCCCGTGGTGCCAGAGGACGTTCAGGCGACAGAGAGGGCTCAGAGTCCACATCTCGCAGCAGCACTGGACCATGGTCAGGCTAGCACGTACCTGGACGGGCGCAGCAACGCAGTGCCAAGGTTGCCTGACGCTGTTCGACAGGACCCACCACCTCACCGAGCACCTGGCGATTGCTTCGCCTGCCTGCCTCGTCGCGACCATTGACGCGGGAGAGGCGCCTGGCAGTGAGGAGAGCGAGTTGCGCAACGAGCTCCCACGAGGACTGCTGAGGAAGAGAGTGAACATACCCGCGATCAAGGCAGCGGGGCCCTTGCCAGACGTGGTATCCCTCAGCCAAGAAGATGCAAAGAAGGTCCTGCTCGAGGCAGACTACGTGCTCGATGACGCTGCCAGGGCCACGCTCCAGGAGGGCTCAGAAGAAAGACCCCAGGAGAAGACGGAAGTTCAGCACGACGAAAAGTACGACCTGAACCAGTTCCGCACCGACAAGTACAGCGGGATCACAACGGAGGTGAAGATACCGTGGAGGATACAAAAGGGCAGAGATCTACGTACTCAACCTATTCTGCGGCCACAGGCGCAAGCAGGACATTCAACATGTGTTCGAGTCAGCGCCGAAGTTCGAAGTGATGTCGGAGAAGGCGCACATCATGGTCCTCAGCATCGACGTGGCGATCGACGCTCAGCGCTGCGACCTCATGCGACAGGACAGCCTGATGGTTTTCCACGAGGGGATCCTGAAGAGGCAGATCGTGATGACGGGAGGAGGACCGCCATGTGAGACATGGAGTGCAGCGAGATGGTCAGAGCAGCCAGGCCCACCGCCGCTCAGGTCCCACGACCAGTTCTGGGGAGTGGCGCACGCTGCACCACGGCAGAGGATCCAGCTGGCCGTGGGGAATGCCCTGATGCAGTCCATGGTGCTCCTCCTTGCGGCGCACCTGGTGGCAGGCACGGCAGGGTGTCGGAGCACCCCATCCCGTGCAGCTGGCGGCTGGCGGCCGTCACATCGTGGACATGGGAGCCGTGGCTCGCGCTGCTGTCGGCGCCGTGCACCACGACCACGGACTTCGACCAGTGCGAGCACGGACAACTGAGCAGGGCCCCGACCAGAATTTTCGGGCTCCGCATGGCGGGGCTGCACAGTCGCCTGACTGCGACGCCTGGGGGAGGAAATTGCTCCCACGGGCGAGCGGCCCACGCCACTCTCCTAGGGCGCGAGGTAGGGTCCAGGGCCTTCCGGACCGCGCGGAAGAAGGTCTACCCCCCGGGCCTCTGCCGCAGCATCGCCGAGAGTATTCTGGAGATGCTCGGATCGGCTCTCGATGCTGCGCTCCCGGACGCGCCCAGGGATGAATCCCAGTCTCACAACCTCCTTGTGCAGGGCCTGGCGGACTTTTATGTCTCAGAGATCCCTACGTCGGAGGACGGGGCCAGGGAGTGGGCCCCTGATTTTGCGAAGGGAAAGGGCCGCAGCAGGCCTGACCCTGAGAAGGGCCGCTTTGAGGCCCCGGGCCCGCCTGGCCAGGACCCCCCAGGCCCCTCCCAGGATCCTGAAGACAGCCAAGGCCCCACTGAGGAGGAGGCCTACGCCGCTGAGGTGATCGGTCTCTCTCCCCTCCTCTGGTCCCCGACTCCGCCTCCGCCTCCGCCTCTCCCGCCTCGCCCCTCTCTTACCGACACCCAGCGGCGCAGGATTGCCGAGAATAAGGCCAGGGCCCAGCGAATACGGCAAGAGCGCCGTAGACCGTGGGCCTCTAGGGGCCTTGACCTGCGACTCGCGTGGGGAGCCCCAGAGGGCTGTCCCATGCAGGAGAGCCCCTGCGGGGCTCGGGCGGACCTGCCAAGGAGCGGGTCGGCCTGGGCCCAACAAATCTTCGGAAGGGCCTGACAAGGGATCGGGCCCGCCACACCACCCTCCACCCGGCTACAGGCTGGGTCCGAGCCGGCCCACTATAAGGGCCACTGCACGTCGGTTCCGACAAGACGCAGAGTTCCACCACACACCTCCTCCCCCAACGAAGCTCCGCTCAAAACCGATCCCTGGACCTCTCTCGGGGCCCATCCTGGCCAGTCTTCCTCATCGCTTCGATCTGAAAAAAAAAACCCTTGGGGCAGAAAAGTAACAGAAATGCCCTCCCCCCCGCCCCTCCCCACGGGGCCGAAATCCAAGAGGAACCTGTATTCTCGAACTTCGAACTTCACTTATCCCGCCCCGAAGGTCCGCATAAATGGGGTCGGACGGGATGGTATGGACAAGCTCTTGCTCCGAATCGAGCCGCGTCGCCGATGCATCGGCGATGCGCCATCTGATTTCGTCAACTCGGACCTCATCTGGCGAACACCAATATCACTGAGCCTAACAATGTTGCGCCGAAGGCGAGGCGCTGTCTGGATCGCCCAGGCATCCGACGATATTGGTCTTTCAATATACGACCCGATAAGGTCCCGCCCCCTTCCGTGGGGGTTCATTTTTTGATTGCCCTGGGGCCCGAACGCTGTTCCCAGATGGTGAAAACTGGGGAAAGCGCCGTGGTCAAAAAATCATGTCGTCGGCGTAGAAGGGGAGCCAGGGACAAGGGGGGTTAGCGCACCGTGGCCCGAAGCATGTGCGCAGACGAATGGGTGCCAGGGAATGTGATGACAAACGAACAATCAAATGTGGGATATTTCGTGGCCATGCCCAAGGTATCCCCCCCCCGCGCACTAACCAGGGGGAGCGATCGGGGGGGGGGGGCAGCGGGGTACACTTCGAGCTTGGATCGGCGATACATCGTCAACTGACCAGTGAAAAGGCCCCCGATAGTGAAAGAGCACGTCCTGGGCGGCGTGGGCTATCAAGCTTCTATCGGCCATGGGTAGGCGATCTGGGGTCGATGCTTTTCCCTGCTGGGCCGACCCCCCCCCCATCGTTACCCTTGACCTGGTCCCTGCCCCCTCCGAGTTTTTTTCCCGCAAGGCTATACCAGAAAAATCTCACGTTACTTGTTCTACACATCCCGCTGATGGTGTGTTGGTGCCTTGGTGAATTAAGACGACCGGGTGTCTGCGCCGCACGGTCGTCTCAGGGCTCGCGGGAGGACAGGAAACGAGCAGGGATGCGACAGAGCAACTTGACAAAACGACACGAGGCAAAACGAACATAACGGAGCGGGACCGCAGCCTGACTTCATGCTACGACGTCGATGGCTTCCACGCGCAAGGAGATGAATGCCACAATTCCTAAGGTCTTCTGGCTTCTGAGAAGGCTTTCCAGAAACCTACAAGCACCTTCCACGTGCCCCTCCGCCTGCTGAAAAGCCCTACGCCTTCTTAGATACCCCCTCTCCGCACCACCCCTGACATCCGCTCCGCCGGTGCGAATTTGTTCAATCTGCGATTCCAGAGGCTCCGACCCTTTCCACGGGGGAAAATTTCCGTCCCAGATCACCGATAGAGGGGCCCGCCGGCCGAGATCGAGGAAAGGCGCGCGGACTGAACACATCATACCATCGGATAACTAAAAACGCCTCCTGCGAGCCGCCCTTTTTTCGGCCCCGCCCCGCACCCCGGCGAGACGGCGACGCGGCGGAGGGCTGCTGCGGCGCGGCCTCCCTGCGGCGTGGCCACCGCCGCCGACGAGCTGGCGCCGTCGGAGAAGCAGCGCGCCTTGAAGGGCCGGCGGGGCGCCGAGGGGGGCCGGTCGCGCGCCAACTCCCTCCTCGGGCCAGAAAATGAACTCTGGATGGGGCAATCGTCGCCCCCCCTTAGATCCGCTGGGATGGTTGGGCAGGCGCCGTCGGATCGGATGGGGGGGGGTAGGAGGAGGAGGAGGAGGAGGAGGAGGAGGAGGAGGAGGAGGAGGAGGAGGAGGATGAGGAGGAGGAGGAGGAGGGGAGGAGGGAGGAGGAGGAGGAGGAAGAGGAGGAGAGGAGGAGGAGGAGGAGGAGGAAGGAATGGGAGGCAGGAGGAGGAGGAGAAGGAGGAGGAGGAGGAGGAGGAGGAGGGGGAGGTGGAGGAGGAGGAGGAGGAGGAGGAGGAGGAGGAGGAGGAGGAGGAGGAGGAGGAGGAGGAGGAACGCCAGTGCCCGCATGCGGTTCGTCTGGCTGGCCGGCGGGCGGGGCCAGACTCAGAAGTTGTTGTTAAGCCTGTCCAGGGCGACCCTGTGGCAGGTCTTGTGCGTGGAGTATGCGGAAGTAGGTGATCTTGTAGACGACGCCGTAGGCTTGACCTCCAGGTATAGGTAATAGAGCAACACGAGGTTGCGCATTGCTGCAAACCTGGAGTGCTCGTGCCGTGGATCGTCGTGGTAAGCCTCATCTCCGGCGAGCCCGAGACGATGCAGAATATCACCATGAAGGAACTGTCGAGGGCGAGGCAGCCAGTGAAGGGCATGACGGCATTGCAGGTAGTGGCTGACCTTGTCGCGCCCTTCTCTGCATCCAAAAACACAGGCATGCCGCACAGCGAGAACATGCATGCGGTAGCTGGTGTGCCACCCGCCCGCAAGGGCCCTCATGACGATCCACCGCCATGCAGGAGGCAGTGTAACGAGGAAGACCTTCAAGTGCCGCCGCCTCTGTTGGAGGTCATGTGGGGTCCGCTCGTGCTCGATCCATGTAGCGAGCCTCTTCCTCAGGGTCGTGTCGAAGGTGTCGGGGTGGGCCGCCGCCTGCAGGAACTTCACGAAGGCCCTCTGTGGGTGAGGGCGCGTGCCGGATGTCACGGACAACCGAACAGCACGTTTGGCCACCTCCGCAGCTTGCCGGTACATCGGGAGCGCACGGGCAGGGGCCTCCATGGGACGGCCCCGGGACGCCGCGGCAAGCCGCTGCACGACGGCAGTGCCAATGCGCCAGAATGGAGGCGACCACTGCCCAGCTGCCAGCCGCGGGAGCCCAACCAAGCGGGACGCCACAGCATCCAGCCGTTGCAAAGTCGCCGGCGAGGTCGTAATCGTGAACTCCGCCGTGCGCCACAACGTCCCGGCCGCCAGAGCTTGCATCGACCTGACCGCCGTGGTCGGGAACCAGGCGTCGAAAGATAGCATGTCGGTCAGGCGGAAGGTGGAAGGTGGGAGCCGCAGCACCTTATGGAGTGCGTGGAACTCCTTGCGCACGAGGTTGCGCGGCAGACCGAAGAACTGGGCAAGGTAGGTGAGGACGGTGAGACACGACGTGCCGTAGAGGCGGACGTTCGAGTCGACTGGAGCGCCAGTCTGACTCGTAAGCACCACCCGTCGCCACCACTTGTCGCCCGCCGGGCCCCATTGGTCGTCGGCTGTTGCCCCGGGGCCCATGATGGTACCGAGGTACTTCCCCTTGTCCTCGGTGCGGACGTCGCGCCACTGGGGGACCAAGAAGGCCACGATGCGCCTGACACGCTGGACCACGTCCTCGGTCAATGGCGCCCAAAACGGAATCAGGTAGCTCTTCTTGGGCTGGAGGTGCAGATTGCCGAGCTCGGCAGCAGAGTCGAAGATGCTGGCGACCGCAGGCAATTGGCGCACGTTGCGGTTGACGGCGCCTACGTCGTCAGCACACGCCGCAGCAAGACCGCCATAATGTAAGTCTTGGATGTATGGGTCCTCCGCCTCTGGCTGCACTGCGGCGCTCCGAACGTGGCCCGCTGGTGAAGGGCAGGAGGTTTGAGGAAGGGTTGGGATTGGCGATGTCCCTGGGGGCACATGGGCAAGAGCTCGCAGAATCGGGTCCATTGCGATTGCCCAAACACTGCCTGACAATGGGCAGCCCTGCGCAACCCCACCGGCCAGCGTACACAAACGATGATGTACCCCACCCAGGAGAACGAAGCCCTCCGAGTCCTCACACAAGGCATGGACGCCGTTCAAGAAGCACTGCGGGACGCCGAAGCGTTTGAGGGCACCGAACAGCCATTGCCGACCCAGCGATGGGAAGGCGGCGGCGATGTCGAACAGCATAAGCAGGGGCATGTAGTCCTCCCCGCCAGGAAGCAGTCCGGCCAGGCGCGCCTCGGCGTCGATGGCGACGATGTTGCCGCCGAAGTTGCGTCCTCGGATGAAGCCCTGTTGGATAGGGTGCGCGTGCGACGCGACGTGCAGCGCCAGCTGGACGTTCATGGCGGACGCAATGATCTTCGCATCGGTGTTCTTCCTGGTGATCGGTCGAAGGGCGCCTGCGTCGCGGATGCAATTGACCAGGTCCCCCTCCTCGGAATCCTTGGGAATGAAGGAGAACAGGGAGTGGTTGAAGCCTAACGGTGCCGCACCATGCTCGAACATGTCCAAGGCAACGTCCTCCAGAAGGTCGAAGGCACCCTGGATCCGGGTCCAAGCCGCATACGGAAGCAGGTCTGGTCCAGGTGCCGAGTCACGGGCTCCTGTCGCGGCACGCCGAAGACTCGCAGCTGAGGGAGGCGCCATGCATGCTGCCGGGATGTCGGGAGGGATATGCTGGTCCAAGAACCTGTCGAGCTTCGCTGAATCGACGGCGGTACCTGCAAAGATGGGCTCCCAGTGGTCCCGCAATGATTTCAGCATGCCTTCGGGATCCTTGTGGATGGTGCGCCCATGGGACACGCGCACCCCGTGTAACTGCAGGCGGGCCGCAAAGGGAGCCCACAGCCAACTGCGTCGTTGAAGGTGCCGCTGTTGCTGATGGTGGTACTCCGCGTCCTGAGTGCGACGCCGACGTGTAGCCAGTGCCGCGGCCTGCTGAGCACGAAGCTGAAGAGCTCGAAAATGAGAACGATGAGTATCGACAGCCGCAGCGGCGAACTGGCCCTCGTCTGTGAGGGCAACCGCCGAGCCATTGATGACCAAGTGGGCTCGCCCGACCTCCGTGTGTTTGATGAGATTGGCAGCAAGGGCCTCATCTTGGCGCCACACCGCGGCGGCCGATTGGCCTTTGGCACCACCAGGGAGGCTCGTGAGGAAGTTCCGCGTGAGTCTCGCAGCGTTGGTGATGTTCGACTTCATGATGCGAAGCCGTTGCGCTGGTGAACGGCCGATCGTATTCGACATGGAGTGGAGGAGGTCGTAGTGCTCCCGGAACTGCGGCACGTCGAAGATGAAGAAGGGGATACTCTGATGTTGCTCCTCCGTCGAGACGTGTAGCCGGAGGCGTAAGGAGAGGATGCCGTGATCGCTCATCCCCTGGTCGCTGAGCTCCAGCGCGTCCTGTTCCAGGTGCAACATTATGTCGAGATTCGGGACCGCGTGCGACGGCAGGCTGATGAAGGCCCTGTCGATGCGCGTGGCCGTGTGGGTGTGGCGGTCGAAGCGAGTAGGCTTGCTGTTTTCGACCTCCACCATGCCCCCGAAGAGCCGGCGCCAGAATGCCTGCTGATGTTGGTCGCCAGCGGGTGAGGCGAAGGACAGCGGCTGGGGTTGGACGTACGGGGAGGGCGGCTCGTCGTGGATGTGGAAGTCCCCAATGGCGATGAAGAGCCTTTCCCGCGGAGACTGTTTGGCCCACGCGTTGAGTCGGGACCACTCGTGACCAATATGTCCCCTTGCAGTCCCATCCAAACCGTGATTGTGAACGTTCATGACTACAAGATGTGGGACCTGGTCCACGAAGAATTCAATGAGCTGCACCCGCCCGGAGACTATGGGACGATGCTGGACCCTCGTCCCCGACGCTACTGCACGACCATCTTCGCAAAGAGTCTAAAGGACAGGGCACCAATTTTCCTGACCACCCGATTCGGGAAGAACATGGGCGGGCCCTTCACTACTCCCACTGTCTACCGAACACGGCGGGGAGGAGAGAGAAGAGGAGGTCGACGACCGGGAACAGGTACTGGACGAGCGTGCTCGCGATGAGGAGGATCTTGAAGAGGTCGCACCTGCTGTCGAGGAGGTGGTGTCGGAGGCCTCGACCTCCCCCACAGCCGCAGGCTTCAGCAACGGCCCGTGGCGCGCGTCTCGGGCCAGGGCGGGTACCAGGACAGCGACCCCGCCCATGGGTTCCGACAGGCAGCCCGAGAAGAAGCACTGGTACGGGTACGGGGTGGAGTCCAAGAGCCGACGAAGCCGCTGAGCTGTCCCATGAACCTCTTGTACAGCAACGAGCGCTCCTTGCCGCAGGTAGGCAAGAAGGGTGCGGAGCTTGCGCCTCCGCTTGCTGCGGCTGTAACAAATCAAGCCTCTGGCATTCCACGTGACCACGTGCAGGCCTCGACTGAAGGGGGCCACGGATGCCCAAGGAGTCGCGGTGGGGTTACCCCCACGACACGCCGCGATCCTCAGCGAAGATACTGTCGAACTCCTTGACCAGCCCCGCCTCGTCCAAGCCCTGCATGGCCACCAGCTGCTTGTTGAAAACCAGCTTGGTCGCGACATCGGCGGAAACGCCCACCTCCAGCTTGACCAGCGGCGTGCCGTTGAGGAGGACTCTGCCTTTGGGCCTACGCCCCACGAAGGACTTCTGAGGATACCATTCCTGTAGGAGTCGATGGAGACGTCGAGTCTGCAGCTCGGTGCGGACCTGTTTGGGGCTCCGATCCGCATTGATGTAGATAGGAACGTTCTGCCCCGTGGTCGCCAAAGCGGTGAAGGACCTCCAGGTGCCTCCAGGAAGCTTGAGATGACGTGCGAGAGCCGCTGAACGGGGCGTAGTAACGTCTCGGCCACCGAGAAGCTGGATGTGGAACCTCCGCGAGGGCGCGTCGCCGACCACCGAGAC